GACTCCGCGAGATAATGGCATGATTGTGCGAAACGAAAATCCGCTACCGTATACGAAGGCTACGCAGATGATCGCAAGGCTGCGTCCGATTTTCGAATTGTTTATCATGATTTTGCGATCTCCTATCAGACTCGCTTTGCTCCAGTCTTTCTCGATGTGCTCGATGCAATCTTTGATTTGATCATTTCGATAAATCAACAATGTATGTTTTAGCACCGCCATCGAGTAGCTGCATATTGGACCAATCATCTTCATACGCCGACGCGCATTTGATTCCTTGAGAAACATCTTAAGTACACTCGGCACAATAATGAAGTAGAGTAGGGCCTGAGATAGAATCCTGATCATCTTTGTCTGGATAATTCTGAGAGTAGACGAATTGTCAGGCAACGGCCATACGCCAATCAGGTTTAGGACACCACGCGTAACACTCACAGTGCGTTTAACATCATGATGAAGGATATTCACATTCATAACTTGAGAATCTACTTGATCTTGACGTTGTCGATGGAGAACTGATCGGACGTATCGTCATGAAGTGAAAAATGCAAATGGCGATGCGCTTGCGTCTTCGATGAGAGCGGAAGAAGTGAGGGACTGACAGGTACAGCGATTGTTACCCACAATCTTTTTTCCCTCTTGTAAATCACGGAAAAGTTGTAAAAGTTATTGTTGGGGACGTTCGAGGAAGCATTTATCATGAAGAGAAGTCTAGTGACTTCAGAAGGCACACGAGAAAATATCGAGAAAAAAATAGCGAACATACAAAGAAAAATTACAGATGTTCTATCTTTTAACGGTACATTCATCATTTCGTGTTCAATAAAACATTTTGTCATGGAAGGTAAGAAACAAAGTAAGAGTTCAAATAACAATTATAAATGATTATAAAAGTACGATGTGAAAAATCATATTAATGCTAATCATATTAAATCATATTAAATCATATTAATGCTAATTTCTCTTCTTAATAAATTATAAACGTCAAATTGTTTATTAAAGGTAATAAAGATCAAATAGAAATTGAAAGAAATGTCTGTATATTGTTTAACTCACTATTGCATTATTTGTTCTTCTTTATAGATGAACAATAAAATAATTAAATAAAAAGTTTGTAATAATTTTATACAATTATTTAGGTGATCTGTAACTCAAATAGGAAGTTAAAATAATAAATCTATACATAATGATGTGATACATTATTGTATGAGCGAAGTATATTTGAATCGAAATCTATATTTCGCAAAATATCTTATTTTTCTGAATTAATGTTTGAATAAGAGATAATTTGTATTATGTAATTTTTTAATTGTATATTTTTATCTTTATATTAATATTTCTTTTAATAATTAATATTTCTTTTACATGACGTTATATGTCTCTACATCTACAAAGAAATACAATCAAACATTTTTTATAAAGGATTATTTTTCCATCATTTTTCGAATAAAATTAAGATATTTCAGAGCTGTTTTGACAACCTGAAATATAGTACATATCTTCATTCATCATTTTTTCAACTTAAATCCGTTACTTACATCACTGAAAGTTCTGATGGACAGATCGGCTTTTAGTTTAGCCGGTACGTCGCTATAGTTAATATCAGTGCTCGTCGCATTCGTAAATCCGTAACCCAAGCCAATGTACTGTTAATGCTAATTTCTCTCCCTAATTTTAGTAAAGAAAATTACAAGATATAAAATAAAAATGGAAAAGAAATATATCCGATATATTTATTGCCTTACTATTTATTAAACGCGTTATATGGATTTATATAATATGATATCTCTCTGGAAAGTTGTGAACTGAAAAACAAAAGATATAAATATTGAAGCCAATTGATATGAGCAAAATGAGATAGGAACACATTGATATAACATTTTTGATCTTCCTGCAAGATAATTATATTTATTCTTGCATACACACACACACACACACACACACACACACACACACACACTTTGCGCGCGCGCGAAGAAACTATAAAAGAACGCGTACAAATTTTCATTAGAAAATCTTTTAACCTGCTATATTAAAAAAAGAATTTAGATACAAAGCAAAAAAGACAACACATTAATGTGTGTATTAACTTTATGTGAAATTCAATTATTTTATTCTATTTAATGGATGTGTTTTATTTAACAGATGATCATCTTGATACAATATAAAAATAAATAAAAATAGATGATAAAATAGACACAAATATAAAAAATAGACAAAATATAATTGTGATCGATATGAGATGAATAAGACTTACTTTTGCATCTTTATTTGATGTTCCATGGTAAAGACCAGCTTTTTATCCAAATTCTTTTCCTCTGTTTCGTTTATCAGGCTATTTATTAATTATTAACGTCAGTATCTCATGTATGTATAACGAAGAGAACGGCGAGGCTGCAAATCACTACCGTGACGGTATACTTGATGAATTCGAAGAAGAACTGTAAACTATATAAAGAATATGATTTCGTACACTGGATTGATTTGTCCGTTAAATAGAACATAATAACTCGGACATGGCAAGTGCCTGATTGTAATTGGTACTGGTTTTTCCCTTGCTTAACGATTGTAGAAAAATATAAGCTGGATATGCCGCACAGAATGAGCACATCTTGCAGTCGTGGCTTTATGAAACATGGAATTACGAGCACTGATACTTGTGACATTTCGCCTATCGTCCTTCATTCGCGCTAGACAGTTTCTTACTTGATTCTTACTAAACACTAAACTGCTGTATTTGAGAACGGCCAGTATCGTGAACATTATAGATGAAATAAGTTTCAATCTGATGCGGATTCGTTTTTTTACAATACTATGTACAAGATTGTCAGGATTTGCAACCGAGGAGAAAGTAGCTGCCTGATATCAGCAAGATTCTCATTAAATGTTCAAGAAATGAAGATTCTGTTTCTGGCCAGATACCTAATAGACGGCAAATAACGCGATTTAATTGTATAATATATTTTATGTCGTTCACATTTTCATTTGGATATATTTCCAATATAATTATATCATGTTTTTTTAAGAGCGATTTTGTCACCTTATAACTTTTTATCATACAGAACATAGTATGATACAATGCGAAGAAACGACCACAAGGGACTTCTTTCATCACTGATCACTACCTTTCAGAAAATAACTTGCGTTCTGAACAACTGCTCACAAAAAGATAATGACATGCTCAGAATTCCCGAGTAAGCACGAAATGAACAAAGTTTAGAGTCCCTAAGGGTTGAGGAAAATTGCTTCCTTTAAATTATACTTTTTACCGCCAATTTTCCCTAACTATAATAATCAGAAAAGTTATTATGTACGTATAACTCCAATTCTTCTTCTTTCGTAAATTTGGTATATCGTAAACTCAGTCTTATTTGTAGAAATATGATGGCATAGGATAAAAATTAAATAATAACGTACATTAAAAAAATTATTTACTTACATATCAAGTAATAAAGTATATACATAGTAGTATATATCTTGTAGATGATATCAACTGGGCAAACATGAGAGACGCGATTTCGTTACTTGTTCGTAAATGATTAGAAATTAATTGGAGCGTTTTACATATATGTGAAGAGCACTTTAATTTATTTTTATTGACACTTTAATGAGAATTTCAAGAAACATAACAACCGACGATTCGTGTCAGAGATAATTTATTGTAAGATTCGAACATGCTGCTGTACAATCATTGCCAATCTTTCATCCATGTTACCGTAAAAATCTTCCCGACCGTCTACTAAATGTTCGATCTATTGTATTAAGATTTCCAGACCATAGGCACGCATCGCGAACACGGCATCTAAACTGCATGCACCAGCAGTAATGGTGCTGTGGAATCCGACAGGCACTGAATCCAAAAGAGAATCTCACTGATGGGACTATGTCGCGTGTCGAGGATCACACTACTAGACTGTATACATCAGAAGCCGATACGTAAAATTTCCATCACTTTCCGTAATCTTACCTTTACTAAAAGGCAGAGCAAGATAGTAAAACACCGCCATATGAAGAATGCGCAAATCGATTCAAGGCGACCGAATTTGGTTCTTGATCATGATAATCTGATTATTAGAATGCCAAGTATTCATCCAGTCGCTTTCGATATGTTTGATACCACTGCGGATGTCATTCTTGTAGAAAATTAGTGAGAAGTATTTAACAATAGCCATTAGATAAAAACTCAACGGACCGGAAAGTTTCAAAATGAGCTATACATCATCCATTTCGAGTAATATGCAGTTTGCGTTTGATGTTATTACATATCGCCGTTCTAAGAACTTGAAAATTGTGTAACGTTATTTTGAAAAATATTAGATGTACCTGTTCCGTTACAAGTTTGCCTATGAAACAAAATATGTTGAACATAAGCGAAATTTAGGAGTATCAAATAAATGTTAAACTGCTCACAGATTTTTTAAAAATCATCCCATTCCTATAATATATAATATTTATGATTGATAAATAAAAACTTTTAGAGATAAACAAAATTTTTAAGAAAAATGATAATTTTTTAATACAGTATTAATTGATATCGATATATTTGCTATATTATTGTATTACTTTAATAATATAAGAAGTTATGAATTTATTATATTATAAATCATTTAGCATATATTATCATTATATTAATCATTATATTATCATTATATTAATCATTATATTACATTAAATTAAGCTTATTTTATTAAATAGATATATACCATCATGCAATAATATTCAAAAAAACATATAGCCCATAA